AAGAATGCTCCTAGTAGCGATGCCAGGGGCCCCTAGTAGCTTCTTGTTACGAGTCTGAGGTTGTGGGGCGATCATTTTAAGTGGCCTCCCGATGACACGTCGCTGTGGTAGCTTGGCCCTGTGAAAGAATGATGCAAGTTGTTGCCATATGTTGTAACGACCTGATACGGTACCTGATACGCCTACTAGTATAGAAACGACTAGTAACAAATTGTCCTATCAGCCCTGAACTAAGTTTCAACGACAGCTGCTGTTGCCGCAACAGCTACACTGGCAGCATGCACGAATTTTCAGGCAGTGCTGGGACTGTCGACTGAGTGTACCGATTCTAGACGATTCTGTGGGTGCAGAGCCGCAGAGCCACACAGACATTGGGAGAATAGATCCAAGTAATTCTATGAATGAAATTCGTTGGTATTCCAGCGCCAAGATGCATGCAACCAAAAGGGGGGCGTTGCTCTTTGTAGGCACTTGTTGGCCCACTACGTCACTATGTTTACACATGTATGAGAGATGGACCTGTTTTCGTGCTGGGTGTAATCCTTGATTTGCTTCTGCATCGTCCGGTCCACTCAGATTTTGAGGTGCAACATGGTGTAACCCAAGCAAATCGTGGGAATCACACGTCCGAATAACTATAGCTGATGAGCTTTCATTCGATGTCGTTTCTCCAGGCATTCGTTTCTCCATCAACAGAGAAGACCAGCGTTGGTACAAACCTGCGCCACAGGCTCGCAGTTTCATCGAGAAAAGCAACAACTGCTCACAATTTGCTGTGCAGGTCAAGCCAAAAAGCTGATGATAGAGTTGGCACTGATCTTATAAATGTTTGGGGTGCTTGGAGGATTGAAGAAAGCTGAAATTTGAGACTCAATTTAGGTATCAGAGATCTCTATTGTCCTGCTTTGATTGGTGTGTCCAGGTATCCGGGGCCTCCCGCTGGCAGCTGGCCTGTGTGTTGCTGCCGGGGTCTTGTCGATATCAAACCTACACATATTTTTGACTGAAGGACATGCCTACAGTGTTGAAACCTACCGGAAACACAGCAGGTTTGGAACGGAACATCGGCGTTCTTGTGAACTCAGAATCAGGCAGCAGCAGCAGCAGCACCTCGCCATGTGGCACGGAAGGCGTATTGGTCAAACGGGACGTGAGAATAGGTTAGTACAGGAAGGAAGCAACAAAGAAATACAAAAGACGTAATATGATGAGAAGAAGGGAACATATGCTGGTATATTGCTAATTAGAGAATTTGTGCAGCATTTTGAGGCAGTGGCGACTGGCGAAGATAAGAAGCCAGTGACATGCTAAGATGAGTCTTCCTGTTTGGTTTGTTGCAAATAACTATATTAGATACATAATGAAAAGCAATGCCAAGCTAGACTTACCGAGCTTTCATAATGTCAATGGCGTTTAGTCACACCACTTGAGACACCTCACCGGGTCCTTCTGGGTGTGAGAAACTGGAGACCTTGTTGAATGTGGATAGTCGAGGTCAGATGGAGGCGAACATACTATCTTATAACTTATAGCATCCTTTACTACTAGCGTGGCACTTGTTTCTAATAGCTTCTTGTTACTACTAGTAAGGCACTTGTTCCTAGTAGCGTATACTGATATGCCAAACATGGACACCTAAAAAACATGTTTTTAACTTGTATCTTGATGTATCTTGTATTTAAGTTATATGAACATGTTCTCGTGAGCGAGATCCAGATTGAGTGGCTTCTTGCCGCATGGATCTATATAGACTTCACAAATTGTTAAAGAGTGTGATACCAGATTGACCGTTGCACACTTTTTTGCATTTGTGTTGTCCTTTTCTGCAAAGCCGAGAAGACACACTTTGCCTTTAAAAAGGCTTTTTTGTTTGGTTTCTTGTTTTCTCACATAGCTTTTCCGGAGCGTTGAGGTAATAATGTCCACGGCTCTGCCTTGGATGCCCGTTCCAGCTCATCTCAGGATTCAGAAAACAGGTAGACGTCATTCATGAATTCATATACCTCTCGGTAGCAAAAGAGAAGCGAGGCAGTCCAAGGTCTTGAATCTTGAACAAGACCTCGCAATTTGCACGGAAGTCCCGATCGCAGTTGCTGCTAAGGCTATTACCAACAGCCTTAGCTTCCTTTTCTCTTGGAACTCTCTTGAACTCTTAAAGCTGTTTATTCATCGATCGTCTACAGAGCGGAAGGAAGCGGACATTGGCACGCCTGTTTAGCTTTGACCTGGAAGGAACGTGCCCACTGATCCGAAAATGGTGGGAGATTTGGGCTTTGACCCTTTGGGGTAGGGCGCTTGAAGTGTCCGCTTTTTTTGCTGTTTGAAAGTGAGCTAAGTGATGTTAGCTAAACCTGCTCAAGTGCACAGTCTCTCTACCTAAGCAAAGGATGTAATTATGTAAAAGGTATTCTCTACTCAGACTCAGGCAGGATGTTACTTGTGTTTGTCTATTTTGGAAAGCCTTTGTTTACTGAGAAGGTTCGAGCAAGCAAGGTTTGAAAACAGCTCAAGCTATAGCTGTCCGCAACATGTAAGGTTTGGAGCCGATGAGTACATCAACGAGGCATTGTTTGTTTTGTTTTTGACTTTTGACTCGGATAGCTTTAAGCGAGCAAACTTGACATGTTGATCAAAGACCTGGAACCAAATGAACAATGCGAGCGTGAGCTATCCTGCCTCCAGTAGGCTTAAGTAGCCGCCTGTTTATATATTGTAATTAAGCAGAGGTCGGTCAAAAAAGACTTTGCAAAGACGAAGGTCGATCAACTATCTCTCTCTCTCTCTCTCTTTCTAGGTGCTCGAGAACTTTGGGATTGAGTTCGATGCCATGCGGTGGTATCGTGAGGAGACAGCTTCGTTTCGTTGCAGAAGAGAGAAGTTTGTTGAGAGATGTTTTTGAAAACTTCTCTAGTAACAAGAAGCTACTAGTAATAAGGGCATCGCTACTAGTAACAAAGGGCATTACTAGGAGCAAATAGCTACTAGTATGCTACATTATGCTACTAGTAATAAGCTCCTCCCAAACCGGTTTCGTGAAATCGATGCGAAGCCACGAAGCCAGGCTGAGCTTATGCACGGCCGAGTCTGCATGCTTGCAGTCTTCAAGGCACTGAGGATGGAAGGGATGGAAGCAGTTCAATGGAGGACATTATACAGTGGCTTCAGAGTAGACCTTTATATGGGGTTCATATAAACCACGCCATCTGCTCTGAAACCACTGTGAAATACTGTGAAGTAATTTCATCATTCTTTCCAAGCTGATCTAAATCTATTGAAAAGCTTCCAACAACAGAGGTCAACAGTCACTACAAAGGAATGGATATGCCTCTCACACAAGGGGAGCGTTGACGCGCAATGACTTCCATCTCGGCCCCTCTCGCCGTCTCCGGTTGTGCCGAGTGTTGACAGGTGATCGTTGACTCCTCCTTCCCAGGCTCCGGAAGTGCGAGAATTGCACGTAGCTCTGCTTGTTTCCAAGATCTGTATGCGAAATGTCAAGGAACGGGACGGGGCGCGACGTTTTACCCGTCTCCAGGTGTGATGCCCAAGGAAGAGGCAATTTCTTCCTCAACTTGGGAGTTGGTTCAGATGATGGCTCTTCTCGAGGCAGGGATAGGGGTGAAACATGGTGAAACTTGGAACAAGAACGCTACTAGTAGCAAAGGGCATCGCTACTAGGAGCAAGGACGCTACTAGGGTTGCTGGTCTTCTCTTCTTCCGGAGCAAGGACGCTACTAGGAGAAACTTCTGCCCATACAAGCCGTGAAACAAAGGCCTTCCGTGGCTACCGGCTCTTCGTCAACCAGGACTGGACTGCGTTCAGACTGTACTTGGCTTTGCACATTCAGACTCTTTGAGACCTTCAAGTCATATTTTGTCCTTTTCCTGCCTTTGATTCTTTTTTGTACTGTCTCTTTGGAATGGGTACACATGACTCAGCTGGACAACATCGGGTCGATACGTGGTTCCGTCAAGAGTTGAGAGTTCTTGTGCTCATGTTGCAGCTCTTCGTCAAGGCATTGTAGGCTCATAGCTATAGTGATTGAGTTTGCCGCAAGCCCGCCTCAACAATGGACGTGCCCGCATTGGCAAGGGTGACAGTCCCATGTCATTGGGTGCCAAAGGCCGGAAGACCTCAGTTGTCGAGTGGCATCGATGTTCGCCTGACTTTGCCCATGAGTCTTGCAGCTCTTCATTTTGGGAGGAGGTGCTCCATGCGCCAAGCCCGCCAGCGCAGTCGCAGCCGCACGCAACACACCGTGATGAGGTACACTTCAATGTGCAAGGATTCAGATGCACCGGAGTCCATGCGACGACGCTTTGAGGCTGTGGTGGCGGAAGCTCAAGAGAACATTTGCAAAGCTATCGAGGATTGCGATGGAGGTGCCAAGTTTTGCAAGGAACCTTACACACGAGAATCCGGTGGAGGCGGTATTGCCCGTGTGTTGACCAATGGCAACATTTTTGAGAAGGCCGGAGTGAATTTGAGCGTGGTTTATGGGCAAATGCCCCAAGAAGCTTTGCAAGCTGCCACTGAGAGAGGTGCAGACCGTGCAGGTGGAAAGCTTGAACCTGGTCAGAAGGTGCCTTTCTTCGCTTGTGGCCTTTCTTCAGTGATGCACCCGAAGAATCCATTTTGCCCTACCATGCACTTCAACTACCGGTACTTTGAGACGGAGACTGGAGCATGGTGGTTTGGAGGTGGGACCGACATCACCCCCTCATATCTTGATCGAGACGACATGAAGCATTTCCATGGGACCTACAAGGATGTTTGCGACAAGTACTCTCCAGAATGGTACCCAAAGTTCAAGAAGTGGGCAGATGAGTACTTCCTGATCAAGCACCGTGGGGAGACACGTGGCTTGGGAGGTATCTTTTTTGATGACTTCAACACAGAGGATCCTGAGACCCACTTGAAGTTTGCGGAAGAAGCTTTGGATGCAGTTCCGAAAGCATATGTTCCCATTCTCGAGAAGAATCGAGACAAAGAGTTCACAGAGGATCAGAAGCAGTGGCAATTGCTTCGCCGTGGACGATATGTGGAGTTCAATTTGGTCTATGACCGCGGCACAGTTTTTGGCTTGAAGATGCTGGGCAGCGGAGTTGGCCGCATCGAGAGCATTTTGATGTCCCTTCCAGAGAATGCACAATGGCTCTATGCCCACGAACCCAAAGAAGGCTCACCTGAAGCGGAGATTATGGAGTGCTTCAAGGAGGCGAAGGAGTGGGTTTGAGACTGAAGTGCAGAGCCAATGGTCAGTCAAGGAGGAGATGACCTGAGTGCTGGCCTCGATGTTTTTTGAACTCACCTTCGTATCTTTTTGTCGCGGCAGTGAAGCAGGATCCAGGATGCTTCAGATTTCTCATGTGCACCCACGTTGCACCTTTGAGATCTAGAATCTAGATGTACTGGAGCTGCTTGCCCAACGCAGCCCAAAAGGGATGTGTTGAATTTTGCACTACAGTCCAACATAGTCTAATAGTCCAAGCGTGTTCAGTTCCGTTTTCGAGAGACTGGAGCGCAGGATCTCATTGCCGGAGACCTTGGCCTTGGTGCTGGACCCATGCCAGGTGGCTGGAAGGTGGGAGACTCAGAGCGATCGGCAGAGCGATCGGCAGTGCTCTAACCTCCCGGACTCCAAATTGATCTTGAGAGAATATGTGTAATGGATAGTCCAACCGATTCTGCTAATATATGCTTTTTGGAATAGAGAGACCATAGATGGCCTTTAATTACGATTAATTGATTGGATTAATAGAAAGGGTACCTCCAAGTATACAACAGGACCAAACCGACCCCTCTATTATTCCCAGGACATCACTGAGAGAGACAATATTGACATTGTCTCGGATCCAACCAACTGTCTCATTCGATCTAGAGTAGCGTCATGCAGCGCCATGCAGTGCCGCTTCAGATGACCTGGGACATGACACTCGAGGAGCTCGCTGAGAAGCAATACAAGGAGATTCGACTAGCAAATTTGAATCGAAGACATATTCGAGAGATCAACAATTTGAGAGTAGGCAGTGGCGGAAGTAGGCTTGTAAATTGACGTGTCATGTCCTGTAAAGAGCAAGTGGAGGATAAGCTTGAAGTCTCATGGGGTTGAGTGAACATGAAGCCGGGCACATAGCCCCCTGGAAGATTAAGGGCACATACCTGGTTGAAGTCCGGGTGATAAGGCGTTTGAGCGGAAAGCTATTGCAGAAGCTGAACGTTTCAGATGTTCAGGAGTTGCAAAATGGCCGCCTGGCCATGCTAGCCTTCGCAGGCGACCAACTCCGGAGCTGGGTTAAGACACAGGTCGTTCGCTTGCTGATTGCGGCTTTGTGCCTCTCAAGCGAGACACCTGTTTGCGCTTGCATGGCACAAAAGTAGGAATCACCCAATTGTTTTGCTTTTGCACAACGTAGAAGTGCCCCAAAACGAGATAGGTCATGCTTCACTTGCAGGGTTTGGGATCACTCGTGTGCTTCCCTAAATGTCATTTGGAGGAGCTGAGAAGTTCACGTCCTTTGGCATAAGTAACACACATAAGACAACAAAGGCCACCGCTCAAATGGCAGAGATCAGGTAGAATCTAAATGACTTTAGGCAGATTCTTCGCTGTTTGAGTTCACCTGCCCATTTCCGGCACTAGATTTGTTCTCCATTCATCATTCATCTATTCCGTTGTAGCTCTGTCGCGCAAGGGGTCCATGGAACCCGTTTCTTATCGTTTCCTAATTGGGCATCGCTTTGCAGCCTGGTCTTGGACGTCACTACCAAATCGCTATTCATACACTTTCCCTCCATCTCGACTTTTTGTGTTCAATACCTTTCCCTTTTATATCCGTTTATAGTCGCACAAGTAACTTAATACACATCACTGTCACATTCTTCCCCAAATTCTTTGTGACTTTTCCTATATTTGTTTTGCTTCAGGCATGGCAACGCAATACCTGGTGACGGGTCGCGCAGTTGGCTTTGCGGATGACCAGCAACCCTTCAGCTTCATCCAAGGGCACCTTGGCGCAGCGAAATTTCCGCGGTGTCCTTTTTCTTTAAATGGTACTACTACAGTACTTTTCTACACTGTACACAGACTTTTTCTGTTTTGTTTGCTGATCAACTGTCAGTTTTGCCCAGAATTTGTTTGTTTTCGATGGTGCAAGAAGGAGGTGACGAATGTGCACGATCCCATGCTGGCAGGGTGGAGGAAATCGCAAGCACAAATGATACGATCCTGACTTGTGCAGCACTGAGTGAACCAGTGGTTGTTTGATGCTATGCTTCGAAGACAGATGTGATAAGCTCCTGGTATCATGCCAGACTTTCTTTCACAATTGTTGCAATGTTTTTCTTTGTCAAAATAATGTTTTACAATCTTGTAAAACAACTGTCTTGGATTCTTGACTTCCTATTGGTCTCAGTTGCTGGAATGGCTATGGCCATCGATGGTGTCCGCCGCCTTTCCTTCCCGGAGCGCTTGGTTGTCAGAGAAATCCAAATTGGATCTCTAAAGGGAATCAACCTAATAGCGATGGCTTCCAACCGAAGAGCGATGACCTCCAACCTAGAGAGAATGGAATATGTATAGATTAAATATCATTGGGATCTTTTCGATTTGGTTACTGCCAGGACCAATCCATTGCTGGACGAGCCCGTGGCTTAGGAAGTTTGCACGTAGATTCGGAATTCTCACGAATGGTCTGAGATTCATTCAGAGCTGCAGGCACTCAACCTTTCAAGGCTCAGCATTGGTGTCCAGGACGTTTTTTGTAGCCTAGCGTTTTGCTGCCATTTGCTTTGTTCCATGCTTCATTTGTATGCTTTGCCTGCCGGGTCAAGTTAGCAACGGAATTTCTATCCCACGCTTGTTTGTTTGTTGTGAGCCTGGTGGCTCAATACATATTGCTTTGAAGCACCCGCCAAGCACAGAGAGCAGCTCTGAATGCATTTCCGTTGAGCCATGAACCGCACAGCACAGCCTGATCACGGGAGATGTCATCCCTAACTAGCTAGCGACTCAAAAAAGCTGATTGAACTCATTTGGGCCTTATTTGCCATACTGGGTTCATTACAGCAGATGTGGAGCACATGGCCGATGACCTGGAAGCAGACGAGACCGCAGGCTGTAGGACTTGATCTTACATAAGAACTGATTTGCTAGTGGGCCATTAGACGGCTAGATTAGAGTCCAAGCAGAGCAGTATGCACAGAGATCTCGGATGTGTGCAGGTCTTCAGGAAAGCAGGAATCTTTGCACACTGTCTGATGAGCTGGCAAGCAGCATTATGGAGAGCAACGAAGCCCCCGCAAAGGAGACCATAGCGCCCAGGTGGAGCTTTTGAACTTGCAGCGTGACGAATTGTGAAGCACATTGAAGCACAGGCTATTTGTTTCAGGCAGCCTGCTCCAAGTCCTGTGAGCAAACCAAAAGCTAAGCCCAAAGCTACCTTTGTCTCCACAACCATGGCATGGGGATGCTTGTCATTCAAGGAATAGCAAAACTATCCAACTATTTCGGCAGGATTCAATTTGCACCAAGGAAACAGCAGATCGAAAGTGAATAAATGGAGCTCGACAGCTGGCTTCAAAGATACTCTGACTGGTGAGCAGATCTCCCGAGCCCAAGCTATTGCGGAGGTGGGCAAAGTGCAAAAGGAGCCTCTCAGCATCAGAGAGAAAGTTCAATCACGTGTTTTGTGTCTATTGTTTTCTTTCTTCAAAGGAAAGACACCGTGAGTGACACCGTGTGTTGGACATCAACGTGAATGTGAATGATTGGTGCGCTGACGCACCATGACGACGCACCAACACAGTTGCCGCTTCTCCTAGGTCGGCGATGCGAATCCTGGAGATGCTCTCTGAATTGCTCATGCTACGACCAGACCATTTTGCAACCTGTTAAGCACTCGGGTACATGCTCTCGACACGACTCAACACATCGCTGGCGGAAACGCGTTTAGTGAGCTTTGTTGCCTACATTTGCTTGTGTTAACAAGAAGCTACTAGGAACAAGTGCATCGCTTCTAGTAACAAGTGCCTTACTAGTAGTAACAAGGACGCTAGTAGAAACAAGTGCCTTACTACATTTTTTGACTGCCGCGAGCATACAAACATACACGCCGTCGCTCCTTGGAGGTACAAAAGGGACACTTGTTGGAAAAGATCGAGTTCGAGCTGGAGACTTCAAAAGCCATGCTGCTACAGCACTCCAAAGGACAGACATGGTGAGACAATGTGAGATGTCTACGACACGAGCTGGGGGTGTATTGCCAGAGATCTATATGGATTATTTAGTTGATCAACATGGCAGCGCTTTTCACTCCTCACAGAGAGTTGGCTCGATCTATTTTAGATACCATATCTCTGTTCTGCAGATGCCAAAATCAAGGAACCTTATGCCAAACACTCCGGAACCCAAGGTAGGTCAATTTGGCATGCAATGCTTGCTGCTTCACATTGCTTTCGATGTCGTTTCGGAGATTGAGAACGCTGGGAGTAGTCCACTAGGTGTGGGGTTTTGTCCCAGGACTGCTGGGCAGTGATTTGGCAGAACTCAGAATTCAGAAATCGGAAAAGAAGGCGACGAACTCAGTCTTTTATGAAAAGATAACCAAGACCAACATGTTTCCGAACTGTTCCAAACATTTGCAAGCAGAACTGCCAAAAGCGTTCATGAACAATTTGTGCCTATGCCTAGGGCCTATGCTGGTTTGATGCCTTTCCTTGTTTTCTTAAAATAGCTCCTGGCATTTAGACTAGTGGCAAGAAGCTACTAGGAGCAACGGGCATCGCTACTAGGAGCAAGGAGAGGCTCCTGGCCTTACTACTAGGAGCAAGAACGCTACTATATAGTAACTTAGATTAACTTTGAGGCGCTGTTCGACAAGATCGCAAAGCGGAATCGGTCCTTCACACAAGACATTGCCGGGCAAAGACAACGACTTCGCCATTTTTCTGATGAGCATGCCCAGGTTGTCAGCAGGAGAATCTGTGGCACGCCTTGTTTTATCCAGGGCAATTAGTTTGAACACCTTGTTTTCACCAAAAGTCCATGCAGAATCCTCATTTGAATCCTTCGGTTGGCTCCCAGATTTCGCTGGGATCTCCAAGCTTCAGGGATTCTGAAAGAATGCCAGGATTCTGAAAGAAGCGAAAGAAGCAAGCAGCAACAAAGAAGCATATAGAAGCATATAGATGCATATTCAGCCTTTATATGTAGAAGCATTCAGCTTAGTTTTGTTCTGTGATTCGTCCACACCAAGGTTTGCAGGCCTTTGGACGAGAGACTCAAGCCTGTATGCTGGCTGTGTTCGAACACAAGCTGAACTCGGTCTTCTCAGTGCCGCTGGATCGAAAGCCAAGCGAAGTGCAGGCGAGCGACCACCAACGCCAAGGTAAGAAGAATTTATAGAAAACTACATAACTTGTTGAATGGATTGAGCATGATTGAGCGCATTGAGCAACGGGAGCACCTTCAGGCAGCACCAACCCAACCCACAAGGCGCGCGAGAGTAGAAGTGCCTTTTGCCTTGAGCTTCATGCCATGCGTCCAAAGCCCTCGAGTTGCAAAATGGGAAGGCTTGAATTGAAGCATCAAACTCTACCCACTGAGTTATTGTGTTCATGCCGTTAGCGGCAAGCTCCCATGTCCCAGCTCCAAATTGACAGGCTTGAGAACAGCTTTTTGAAAGAGCGGGTGAGCTCGTTGGAGCAGCAAGTCGACCTCCTGACGCAGAAAATTGCCACGGTCCAGCGGCAACATGCGGTCCTGATCGCGACGAAGGTGAAGATCGACAAAGAACAAAGTTCAAAACATCGAGAATACAGTATAGTATAATATAATATTTGCCTCCACCCTATTAGCGATGGCCTCCATCCCCAGTAGCGGCCTCCATCCCCAGTAGCGATGGCCTCCACCCTAGTAGCGATGGCTTCCACCCTAGTAGCGTCCACCCCAATACAGTATATACAGATTGCACGAGAACACACATTTTGGTTGTGGACAAATGGCAAGGGAGCGAAAGTCATTTGAGACGGTCATTCTACAGCGGTTTCACATTGTTCGGATAGTTTGCAACAGAAATAATATTTTTCGGACTGATGTCACAGTAAAGATGCTTAGAACATGTTGGAACTTCCAACATATGAATCTGGAGGAGAAATTGGAAGAGGACTTGGAAGAGCTTCGAATCCTTGCTGAATTCATATGCGTTTGAACATAAGCGCGTGGTGTAGCCAAAATAGACCAATTGAAGGTATAACACGATGAATTGGAGGCGGAAGTCGGTTCCGCCCAGGTGGTCCAAGCTCTTCAGCCTCTGCGTCTCTCAGTGCCCAGAATCTCTCGGCCCTGTCCACACCCAGTGAAAGAGTGTCCGGACGATGACGAGTCGATGAGCCAATGAGCCGCACTTGGCGACAGCCCTAAGGGCCACCAAGTGGGCCTCGCATGGCCGCTTCGTTTTTTGTCGGTAGTCTTTTGGTCTTGTTTTAGACGTCAGGACCCGTTTTAGACGTTTTGTTGAAAGAAGGACGCTTCTTTTTGTAAAATGACTCTTCAACATCTCCATTTCTCACAAAGGCCCAAAAGACTTTGATGCACTAAGCTGCACAAGTCTCGTAGACCTCCTGACGGGGAGGATTCGAGGATTCAAGTCAGATTCCCAAAAGAGAATGGAGCTTGGACTTGGTTTTCCTTGGAGCGATGTCGAGCTTGAAGCTTGGAGTGCAAAGCTGGATACTGTGCTAGGACCCTGGTGTGACCTTGCCAGCAGGGGTCACGGCTGGACAGGCGGGCTCGGCCTGCAGGGGCAGGGCTGCGCTGGGTTGCAAGGAGATCGCACGAGGTCATCGATGAAGTCGCACAATCTGCACACGGCTTTGGGCTAGGCAGCACAGCAGCTGAAGGTGACCGAGGAGCAGATTGAGCAATTCCAGGTGGGATGATTGCAGTGTGTGAAAATTCACGTTCTGAGCTGGACTCGATACCTTTTCTCCAAGGAAGATGGAGTCATCATGATCAAGGGCGCCATGAAGGCAAACGTCACAAATTCGCCAATCTTTGAGAATGAGAATGACATTTGGAAAGTTCTGTTGCTCAGGAATGGGTTGAGTACCTGCAGAAGGTTACTGAAGACCAAATCGAAAAGCCCCACCTTTGGTTGGCTTCCGAGTACTGTGACTCCTGCGACTTTTGGTGTATTCATTTGGATTTCTTTCTTAACAATATAACCATATATAACCGGTTTTCCGCATTTTTTTCCATGTTCCTCCTGTTTCTCCTTGTTTCTTTCTTTTGCATCACGATGTTATACTCGTCTCTCAGGTCTTTGGTTGGCCGGATGAGTGGTATGTATGACTACATTCAGTCCAGCCCTGAGCGTCGCTTAAGGCAAAAGAATACCAACGGCTTGCGCCTCCTTGCAGCTTCGTCGCGTTGTTTCTTCCTGAGGCGTAACATGTGGATGACAAACAATGGTTTCCGTGATTTCCTTGCGCCTTGGCATCGGTTTTTCGGTTTTGGTTTGTTGGGACAGTTTCCATTGTGGATTCTTGTGGCATCTTTATTTGCTATTTCTGATACACAATATGTCTTCTCTGATGCAGCAAGAGCCTTTCTCTTTCAAGCTGCCAGTACTACTCACCGCTGGGGCACGTGGTATCGCAGTTTGCAGCCCAAGAGAGACAGATAGGAGGGAGATGAGGGAGAGGGATTTGGCTTATAGGCAGAGTGTCAATTGGTCGCAGCCAATCATTCCTTTTGCTTTTTGTTCTAGTGGACGATGCCTTAGTTATGGAACGTGCCTTCTCACCCCATCTAGGATAGGCAAAATTGGATTCTGTGGCTTGGTGAGTCTGACGATCCAGAGGGGCGAACAGTTCTGTGTGCGAACCGTGTCAGCCGACGAACAGGACGCTTTTCTCAGCGCAACCAGGTTGGTCTCCTTTTGAGCTAATCCCTTCCCCGAAGCTAACCTCTTTCTGTTGCACAGCAGCAATAGAAAGACGAGAATACGATGAAATGTGAAATGAAGGAGAATAGCAATAGCAAATTCCAAAGATGAGGACTATCGTGGAACGAAAGAACTGGACATGATGGCGGGACAAAGCCACAATCGTTCATTGAGGTTGGGGAAGACTGAGGAAGTTCGCTGCTCCACTGCCGGGGCCTCTGAGTACGACTCGCAATTTGAGGGAATACTGTTGTTTGGCATAGGACTCCCCTGTGTGCCTTTTTGCTGGCGTTTCCCCCGTTCCGTTCTTTCTCCTATTTTCTCAAAAATGTACAGACAAGTGTGGATTCTAAATTGGGCTTTGACAGTATATAGTGGTGGGTATTCCATCTCATGGAGCCAAGGACATGCTCTTGGTGAACCCCAATCGTGGCTTTGGTTGGCATCAGGAGCAGAGAAGCACAATACAGAGAGGATCCAATCCATGTTAGAGAATCAATTAGATTATAAGGTATAAATATACGGAGAGGGAGAGACGGAGTTGCACATACTCAGAGGGGAGGGGGGCAACAAGATGTTCTGTTTCGAGTTCAGAGAAAGTCACAGAATCTTGCTTTGTGTTTCAATCGGCTAAAATCCTACTAGGAACAAGAAGCTACTAGGGGCTCCTGGCATCGCTACTAGGAGCAAGGACGCTACTAGGGGCTCCTGGCCGTACTACTAGGAGCAAGGACGCTACTAGGGGCTCATCGCCTGATAGGACAACCAGAATGGGCCCATCGACTTTAAAGACGCAATCCGTTGGTCTGGGACCCTTGCAACGGGAAGAGGAGAACACGGGATGTAGAGGTTGATCCGACTGTGACAAGAAGCAAACATGATCTGATCGGAGTTTTGGTTTTCGTCTCCCTGATCTGAACACATGTTATGTTCACTAGAATTGGCATGGGCATGAATGGGCTCAAGAGAGGGAACATACAGATCAGTTAAAGCCCCCGTGACACTCCGCCTGGCAATAAACCAAGTTCCCTGAAAGGCAGCGTGGGGATTGTTTTGTTTTGCTAACATGCCGGAATCAATGGGCATGCGAGGGATCTTTTTGACGAATAGTTCGGCGGTTCTCCAACTGAACTGAGAGCTGTCGTAATGTCAGGTGGGTCGCAATGGATCCTTGCGGCCAGGCAGGGCCGACGCAAGACTGCAGTTTTGTTCGGCAAGTTGAGGACCCAAGGTGAGCATAGTCGCATGGAGTACGAAGTTCAAGTTCAGCAGTTGATTTGACATAAGTTGCAGTTCCTTTGGTACATGAGCTGAAAGCACACTCCTGCTGCCTACTACTGGTGCACGTGTGAAGCTCTTGATACATACTGATGTATGCCATTTCAAGCTGGCTTACCTGACCGCCGCTTGTGCAAACGGCTCACCTTGCAGGATGGCATTGGAGCTCCTGAGTACCTGCTAGGCTCTCACCGAAATCAGCGGGGTAGCTTAAGCCAAATGCACGTTTCAATCGTTGACACATCGCGGCGTTTGTGTTTTCTTTCAAAGCCTCTAGAAGCTACCTGCATAGGTCCGTGAGCAGTGATGCAGTCATGCCGGCTTATGTTTGCAGAAAACTCCACTTGTTCTTTAGTTTGTCACCTCTTCAATAGCCAATCTCAAGTTTTGGTCTTAAATGCACATCCTTTGCTAGCAAGAACATTTTGTGAAATAGATCGCTGAATCTACATCAATCAATCATCATGTTCGTTTCTCTTAAGCCTCTTCGGCCAGGTTTTTGTGAGTCTGGAGGAGGGGTCTTTCATGGTCTTCCCATTGCAAATGCGACCACCCACTCTTCGTCATAGTCCTATTTGAAGAAATACGAAGAGAATAGTCGAGAAGAAACTGAGTGCTATTAGTAACAGGTGCCACGCTAGTAGTAACAGGTGCCTTACTAGAAACAATGTTTGCTATTAGAAACAAGTGCCTTACTAGAAGGGGCGTCGTGACATCGACCTTTAGGAATAGGCTAGGAGGAAGCGACAACCCCTGACACGAGCGTGAACAATCTTAGCGATGGCCTCCCCCCAGGACGGCGACCTGAACACTTTCCCAAGGAAGACCAGGTGCAAAGACGAGGGATTGGCAGACAAGTCGAAGGTCCATAAGAGGTCGTTTCTGTGTCAAAGCAGTTGAAGGGACTGGATCATGACCTAGAGTCGAAGGAGTCCTCACAACTGCTCACAACGGCGTTGTCCTACTTTGCCTTTGCAGGTACACGCCAGAGCCCGGAGACTTGATTATTTGGGATGCCCGCACTAGTGCACCTGCCGATTTAGACACTACTTGTTGTGAATTTGTCCAAAGGTTTCTTGCTAACAACGAATAATGGTGCACAGTATTGACATATGTTCATATTCGCATGGATTCTTGCACTTGAAGTCACTCATACTCTTCCTGTGATGAAGCTTCTATGGCAAAGAGGGTGTCATCGGCTCTGATCATCTCTGTTTGTGCCAGTCCATCGCATTGTCGCACCACCTGGCCAGAAGTGGGAGGCACCAATGACCAGTCATGTCCGTCAATTTCGGTTTGATTAGATCTCGAATATGTCGACACCAACAGTTTGCCATACTGTGACGCAAATGGAAGGATGGCACACAGCGTCGCGCAATTGGTGGCACCATGGCCAAGGAGATATTGCGGAATTTTTGGGTGTACAGTGCAAAAATGTTTTTTTTAATTCAGAATCCTTTCAATGATCAATGATTTCAGAGTAACTTGCGATCATTTCTGTCTTGCCAGGCTGGAGCCACATACATCAACAAGGGTGGTGCAAGTGGAATCAGCGACCTGGCAGGTGAAGCGCCCACAATCCCAACTTTAGAAAAGAAAGACAATATGTGAAATTCTGTTTGCGAATTGCACTGAGCGACACATGGTTTCAGTCTTCCATGCAGGACACAATCAGCTCAACGGTGAACCATTGGGTGGTGCGCCAGTTGGAATGTTTCTTCGGCGGTTTTCGTTACTATGGCCTTTTGGGAATTTCGTAAGCAGTTTTGAACGAATTCTTGCGCTGGTGCATACTTGTACTTTAGGGCCTTTGTTAATGTGCGACCTGCATTGGGAATGAACAGAGAAGGCGGAAGAGCATCATCAGAATAGAAAGCTGCTTGCCTTTGTGTCAGGACCATACTTCCCTCGCATCTACCCAACACGCGTGAAGGAGGAGGAGGAATCCACTTGGACCTCAGTTCTCAATATGAGGTAATTAAGTTAACACATCATTGATCCCTGGCTAATCGGTTGTCCTGACTGTACTGTGGACGCTTGACAAATCTTGACACTGTCATACACTGTCTACGCTTGACAAGAAGCACGTTTGTAGTTGCTGAGAAAGGGCAGAGTATGTGCTGCTGGGACAGTTTTGTCCAGCCACGAAATTGCTTTGCTGTCAAAGCAGACTGAAGCTTTCCTAAGAAAGTCCTGAGAGGACTACCGCGCAGAGAACCGCATTGTTGGCCGCTCTCCCCAGTTTGAACCTCAGAAAGTGATTTTTAATGGTCTATTCACACTCCAAAGCTTTCTTTCAAGCGAGTGGACGATGTTTGCTGAGCAGAACGGCCTTCACATGCTCTTTCTTGAGCCAGATTTGGTTACGCTTGGCACAAGTGACAAGGAAGATCGCGAACCTGGGTGTGACGCTGGCCTCCAACGCAAGCAAGTACGT